TCTCGGTCAACTGTGCTCAGCAGTATAGCTCTAAAGAAAGCCACAGCAAGACAGCCGAAACGTCACCACAATTGACTGAGACGCGGCTCATCCCGGATAGCCAAGAATGTAAAGTTTAATTTCTCCCTTCTTCGGGATTCGAACCGAGGTCGCGGCATGGAAAGCTAGCACGCTAGCCAATAACCTCCAAGGAGGGGTCTGTGTGTATTTTACCTAAACACTTAAACTTGCATGGCGAGTTGTCTCCGGCAAGTATTTCCATATTAAGTATTTTTATATTTGTGTTCTGCGACATTGTAATAAAAATACATTTTAAACATTCAGCTGATGCGTGGCTCGTCCGTCAACGGACAATAAACTTACATGAAAAGGAAGGATAGAAATAATTTAAATATGTTTAGGTGTCATGAGACAATTAGATTTCATTTTCGTCAATCTAATGAATCAAGTCATGATTCGTGCGTTGTCGGAAAGACGTAGTAATTCACTGTTTTTTTCTAGTGTAGTAGGAGTCTAAAAATAAAGGATATCTTCCCAAGTTTAAGCACTTTTGCTTCTTCCACCATGCTTTTGCCACGCGTGAGGACACTAATACATATCGAGAGCGAGAATCCTTCCACATGTCGGAAGAGTGGAGGAATGTTGGTTATTCAAAAGAAGATTCACTTCACAGTCGTGTACGATAGTTAAGAAACTGTCGTGCGCGAATTAAGTTAGAATGTGCTGACCAATAAAACATGAGAAAATTTTCCGTGCGAGAGAAACTGAAGCAGTACATTTATTTTGAGTTTATATGGCGAAAATAGGATTTTGAGCAGTCATGCATGGAAACGAAAGCATAACTGAAGTGTTTATTGATGCGCAGTCAGGGCAGCTTTCGTGTTTCATTCTACCGCTAGGGCTCAACAGGGCTAATAGGCGCATATACACGTAAGCTTCCGCGGCTCGAGTCCATAAATTCTTGAGTATCCGGGAGACGCCGCGCAATTGGCTGGGAGGCCGACGTTTCGCCTGACACGTCGCAGGCTTCCTCAGGGCACTGCCCTGAGGCGACGCGGCGTCTCCCGGATAGCCGAGAATTTAAAATGCGCATGATCCATTCGTACAATGACACGGAACCAGGGCGCGCTCGGGGCGCAGTAACACGCAGTGAGGAGCTCGTAAATGCAGTCCATTGCACCGGGCCGTTTTGAGGTTAGGTACAGGAGTTATGAATGATGATTTGGATTTGTGGTGAAATTGTGTGCCACCCAGTGTCACCCAGAAACACTGATGATGATGGAATATAATACCCAATGATGGAATATAATACAAGAAATGTCTTAAAATAATTTTTTATGCGAATTTCGGAATATCAGTTTGTGTTTTCCTACACTTCAACCTCGAATAACTTCATGTTAACAAGTACAGTGCTATTTAGTAATCAAAGTACAGGTATAAATATCAATTTCGAAACGCCAAAAAGGTAAAAATAAAAACAGTGATGCCTTTAAAAAACAATTCAAATATATACGCCACGATATGTTTCTCGCACGTGCGTTCATACGTCAGCAGAAATGCTCGCGTTAATATTTTTATGGATTTCAATAACCAAACAATTGTGCAGAAGCCTTTCGGTTCAAAATATAGTGTAGAAAAATCGATTACTGGAAAATCTCGAAAAATGAAATTAAGACAGATACGCGTTTGATGTCTTCGCTAGTTTTTAAACAAAGAAGTCACACATTAATAATAATCGCATATGAATTAAGGACTAAGAATTATCAAAATATTTCATACAAGTTCTGATAAAAAATAATTATTATTCTTATAAAAATGACAACAACGATCAAAATTCAAACTTCTCATTTTTCGAGTTCTGTCAATTCTTATATCTCCAGTGACAAACCAAGAACGGCTGTCTGTAATATTAGTGCACAACGCACACGTACTGACTCACTTCCGGAATCCGTTTAATTCACGCTCTTCACGCGTGTGGGGCAGCACCGTCGCAGAGCGATGATGTTTTTGCCCTGCAATGGGGTGGGTTTCAGTGCAACGAATGGAATACGCTATAAGAGTGTATACAGTACTTGTAAGTTTCCATGAAGTCGTACAAAAAAAGTAATGTACTCAACTCGTACAAAAGTGTTTCTGGTGTACTCATTTCAAAATACCTTATGCGGCTCTTATCGTAACCTCGTTCCTTAATATTTCGTTCGTACCAAAGATTCTCTTCTTGTACTAGTTACGTTAAATAAGTATTTATTCGTGTAATATACCGCAAAAAATTCAAAAAGGTTTTTCTCTCAATCATCATTGTTTTCTTGCACAATGTGTAATACCATGGAAGTAAAAAGTAAAATATTCGTGTAGATGCCAAACCAGTATGGCCGTAGATAGGACTAGTTATCTTTTATTTTTGTACTTCAGAATTTGAACTGATAACGTCTGTCTGGCCATTGTATTTTCAGTGAGATCTTATCACCACATTTTGATGGGTTACCTCTAGTATTTTATTAGCTGTTATTCTCTGTATTTTGCGAACTCTGTCTCGCCTCCTCACTAAGTTGACGATCCATGCCGGCTTTGGGAAAATAGCATCACCTAGACGGTGGTTACCAACTAGTATGTCATTACACAGATGTTTACTGAATTTAAATAGAACAGAATACTGCGGATAGCCATATTTTATTCTCAGGCAAAAATCGACGAAACGTATTATAAGATCACAGAAGGAGGAATGATTCATAAATTTCTGAAATTATAATATTGGCTCACGTTCATACACAAATTATTTCGTATAATGTGAATTATCAGTAAGATTAAACATGTTCAGAAAAAAGAAACAAAAACACTTGCTTCCCGCAAGACAAATACAAAATATGCATACACCAATCTTGCCCGAAAAACATCACTTTAGTAAGCAAAATCACCATATATAAAAATTGCACTTTACAACTCAACGTAACTCTGGGATCTCACTATACTGCTATCTGCTTGAGTATAATGTAATATTCAAAATTTTTGTTTTTAGGAAAGTGAGATGAATTTAACCATTGATACAACCAAACCAATTAGTCACGGTTGTGGTTAGCACTTACATCGCTTTATATTCAAAATAAATAATATGTTAATTATTGTCCATCGCTTTGGGTAATAAGTCGCCATTGCTAAACGACCTTGGTAGCCTGGCTTTTTATCCACTGACAGTATTCTTTGTATTCCAAATTTTTCCCGTGAGCTTGCTGCGAAAGCACCTATCACAGTTTCTGATTTTGTAACTTTTTACAATAGAAGCGCTGGTCCGAATACCGATCTAGGGTTACGTGTTACGAATTTTATTTGACAATAAGAATCATTACGTTAGTTCCTCTCATGAATTTACAATAGTAGAATGGTAAAACAATGCTTTGATGTTGCATTGTATTAAATAAATACAATTCAAATTTAAAAACTGTTTTTTCAATGAAGATTCACTAAATATTAACTGTACTTTAACTACGTTTTAACTACACTTTACTGTATTACACACTTCAAAAATCAAACATTACAAAAATGTTGTGCAGGGCCAGCATTTGGCTCAAACTTCCTGCTTTCTAGATCGCAAGTTCGATGTTACTTGACTTTATGAGCCGAAGCGAGACGTGCAGTTGAAAGATATATGCATAGAATGCACAACACGCAATGTCGTCTGGGGACAATGTAGAACCCACGTCTTGAAATAACTTTGCAAAAACAACGCCCATGTGACCAATTTCATTGAAACCAATTCAAAACAATTTTAAATACTCCCGATACTAATAAGAACAATGTGTGAAAATTTCAGCGAAATCAGTCGAGTAGTTTTGGCGTCTAAAGCGACAGACATGTGCACATCCCCTTTAAATTATAGATAGATTTCACACTTTTGTGAAATTGCTGGTGAACTCAGCAAATAATTTGAATAAGTATTTTTCTTTTTCAATTAGAAGTATTCAACATTTTTTCAATTTAACTCTTCATTTAGCATTTGAAAAGTGTTACAAAACAATTGACTTAAAACTAAAGTGCGGCCCATAATGATTCCAAAAGTGTCTCTCGAGCCCTTTACAAGTTCAAACCTCTGGTCTAAATGTAGTGTTTATAATATATTAGTGAATGCTTCGCTAATTGCGATGTATTAAACTTTACATGCTACTGGTCACGTGATTGTTTATAACGATTTACGCTACGCTCTGCAAACTTTTCTATAGAAGAAAGACGTTCTCCCGAGAGTGGCTCCGTCTCTCTCTCTCTCTCTCTCTCTCTCTCTCTCTCTCTCTCTCTCTCTCTTTTTCTTCCTCTCTCCCTCCGTCTCTTTTCCTGTCTTCGTCTCTGTCTCTCTGTGTCTTTCTCTCACTGTTTCTGATTGTTTCTCTCTCTGCGTCTACATCTTCCTCTGTCTCTCCCTGTATCTGTCTCTCTCGGGAGAAATTTCATAATCGCAGGGACAGAATTCGCAACGAAGTCTTCTTAATTCTCATACTTCAGTGTGCAATGGGTTACGTAGCCGTTACTTAGAGAGCCTTATTCAGGGCGCTTGAATCGGCATAAAATCATCAACGCGCGCATCTATGTGCCCAGTCACTCCTATTGTACTATGCCTATATTATTGTCACAAGTAATAAGTTGACAAAGTTTTATTGCAATCGGACGAACGGTACGGCAGCGCATTGAGTATGAACCAACAAGCAACAAACAAACTTTTTTTTGTTGTTTAAGGTCGCATCAACTACTAGGTCATTAGCGACCACTATTGCTTGTAACGGTATGGTAACTGTGAGGATGACACGATAATGATATGGGGTAAATGACGAACACAATACAGCCATGTCGGCGGCGGGACTCGAACCCGCTATCCTTCGGTCCGAGATCACTACAGCACTACTGCCTCAGCGATCTCGGCCACCGGATCGGCATCATATTTTCTTTTATATATAATATTGTGTGACGAATGCGAAGGAAATAAGCTATTTTTCGTTGACCAATGGCTGGTGGTGATGTTGCAGGGTGCTTCCACGGACAAGTTCAAGGAGGTGGTGGAGCCAGTGGTCAAAGCTTGCAAATCCGAAGTCGCGGGAGCCACTGACGGTGAGTAATGATCTTCTCTTTCTTTCGCTTACGAGCTGTCAGGACAGCACTGCGTCGGAACTTCGTAAGCAAGGACTGGTTGATGTAAAGAAGTGTTGCATAAATATCAAGTTCTAGGTTATTGCAGGATCCTTGAAGACTGTTTTTGTTGAAAGAATTTAACGCAGAGATGTTCCAGAGTTTTTTTTGTTCTTGAGCAGTGTGCGTGCTACTTTTTCGAAAACCATTTTGTGTGGTTTTCGATTGATGGATTGTTAGTAATTCCAGGTGCGTCGACTACTACGGGCATTGGTCCCGTAAGTGTGGTGCATGTTTTGGGCTATGCTCTAGCTGTGTTCTTTTTCCCAGCTCCCGACCGGTCTCCCGGCATATGGGATTGTGTATTGCACGTTAGTGCAAGTGAGTGTAAGGGGTGAGGATAGGACAAAGAAGAGGTAGGAAAGATCGTCCGCGGTCCGGGGCCAGTTCGTTGGGGTACTCCTCAGACATTCGGCTGGAGAAACTACGGAAAACTACCGATCAGAGAGGCCGGCCTTCTCCTCCATACAGCGACTGAATTCGACCTGACCAGCTAACGCCGAAAATCCGCTTCTCTTACACGCTTACTAACATATACAGTACACACTAACATACACTACGCGACCACACACTTCGGCGGAGTTTCCAGCTTGTCCCGGCTGGGGCGATACCTGGCTGGGGAAAACCCCGGAAGCTGCCATGTTGGACGGCGCCGGATCTCACCGTCTAGCGAGGGACAATCACCCCCACCCCCGCCCAAAAAGCACTACACTTGCAGGACTAATGGCGGCGGCGGTGGTGTAACGGTTAGCGTACTGGACTGTTGTACCCAAGTTGGCGGGTTCAAACC